GAGCGAGGCCGGTGGAGTAATTGCGAATGCGCGACACCTGCGCCACTCACCGGTCTCGAGTCCCACGGAGGAGCTCCGGAAGGATACAAAGGAGGAGTGACGACAGGGAAAGACGAGAGAGGACCAGGCCTGGAGTTTATTTTGTGTTTTGGTTTTGTTTGTGCGCGGCAGTCGTCCGCGAGGGGCTGGCGCGCTATTTTGTGTTTATTTTATTATTAAAGTTTGTTTAAATGTTCGCCGGTTCCTGCCTTCTTCCCGACTTATGAACTTTGTATCCTTCCGGAGCTCCTCCGTGGGACTCGAGACCGGTGAGTGGCGCAGGTGTCGCGCATTCGCAATTACTCCACCGGCCTCGCTCCGTTCCCACGGCTCTCGGCCCCGCCCCTCTCGTCACAATATTGTAATAAAATTTGCAAGATTACTGTTTTTCCCCTGTATTTTTGATCAATTAAATGCAGCCTTGATGAGCATAAGAGACTTCTTTAAAAAAACATTACAAGTCTTACAGATCCCAACCTTTTGACCGGTAGTGTATATATAACCAATACTATTTACATATAGCACATAAATTCAATGTTTTAATTAAGCCTCTCACTTTCTTTCTCTGTTTGTGTACATTAAAGATAGAGAGAGCACTTTAAGCCAGGCTATGGTGAGTGTTTAAAACACTGGTGTGTTAGAGAATGCTGGGTATAGTATGTTTAGTGTATATTATTTAGTTGCCTAGTATGAAATTCAGTCACATGTGTGAGTGATTTACTTGCAGTGTAGAGGGTTGGTTGTTATAGGAACATAAAAATGAATCTATATTCATCACAGCTACATTTGTCTTTACACAGATTTAACAACAAACACATGTATGCTAGCGGCCACAGCACCTCGAGTTCTGACTTGCTCAAATCTCGACTCTCTTTCTGATCGGTTTATCATCATCCCCCTCCACTCTTTGATGCCCACAGTGTCTCAGACTCAGGTAAGTGTAGACCGCTGTGGCAAGCTCACAAATGCGATCTTTCCCTCCCATCTGACTGCTGAATTGAATTTGCTAAGCTCCATGTGAAGTCCAGTGCCTCAAACTTTTAATAGTGCTATTATGGTCATGAATGACACTTAGCTTCTCTCTCCCCTCCGGTGTTTCAAAAAGCCGCCCCCGGGAGTGCGCAAGATCATGATCGCTACCAACATTGCAGAAACCAGGTGGGCTTGAGTGGGTGGGCGCTCACGTTTGTACTAGGGCTGGTAAGCGATTAATTTTTTTTTATCTAATTACAGGGTGTCTGCGGGTCCTTATAAAGTCTTAAAATGTCTTAAATAACGCTTTCCTAATATAAGGCCTTAAAAAGTCTTAAAATGTCTTAAATTCGATGGGTCTTAAATATTTTTGGTCACATTACCGCTAAAATATCTTAAGTCTGACGGACCTAATGACTGTTTACAATCATTGGACAGACCGAAGATGTTTTCTTCCCGCGGTAAGTTACTGCATCATCAGAGAGAATTGCAGAAAGTTAGCAGAATACAGAATACAAGGTCACGCTGAGGCTCACTCTGTTTGTTTCTTTGTGAGCGACTTCAGAACAAATGAGTGTAACGGCACACATAAACTCAGAACTGAGGTAAAAATTCTGAATGTTTAGTTTATTCATAACAAGATACAGTTAAGTAACACCATGACAAGTGAGCTATTTTGCTCAGTATTCTCATGACCCAAAAAAAACCATTCAAAACACCTACAGAGTGCACGCATTACCTGAAGTCTAGTGCGTGTGCGCATTTACAGTGCGCTCTTTCACTGCATGATTCAGTCTATTAAAATACATTCAGAATGATCACAAATTCAAGACATGGGGCAGAAAATGTGTATATTTATACCACTTCTTACAGTTAATCAATTTCACACAGAAGAGTGCCTTTTTTCTCTCCCAAAATTACCATATACAAATGTAATATTGATATTTTTTTTTTTTTACAACAGTTCAATAAACTAGAAGTTTTATTAAGAGACGTACGTTTTAGACACCATATTGCCTGTTTTTGCACTATTTCGCCAACAAAAATAATTCCAAACAAAGCCACAGCACTGTTTTGCGTCTTTGAGCAACATGACAGTGTTTTGTTCCTGAATGAATCAACCGTTTAAATGATTCGGTTCATTCACAATGACTCGCTTATTAACAGTGACTTGCTGCCACCTGCTGGCGTTTTTAATTTCACATTTAAAGTATCTTTTCATTTTTTAAATTATTTCAAATATCAGTATTCAATGTTTTATGTTTAATATATCAAAACATTATTTCTGCATTTG